CAGCAGGGGCTGGGAAGGTGGCTCAGTGGTAGAGTGCTTGCCTTGCATGCATGAAGCCCTGGGTTCCATTCCCCAGCACCACATAAGCAGAAAAAGCTGGAAGTGGCGCTGTGGCTCAAGTGGTAGAGCGCTGGCCTTGAGCTGAAGAGCCGAGGGGCAGTGTGCACGGCTGACACACGCACATCCCTCCCAAAAATAAAATGGCCCAGCAGATCCTCAAGGCCAATGGCCAGCAAAAGTTCCAAGGCCAGCTCTGATTGGCTCATGTGTGTCATGGGATCATCTCAGCCAATCAACATCCAGCCCAAGTTCCCAGGCCAGCTCTGATTGACTCACATAAGTCGTGGTCACCTCCAAAGTAATCGTTTTGACTCTAGAGAGGCCAGGCCCCTCGGGAGCAGAACTTGGGGTTCGGGGCAGAAAGTATTTGGGAGGGAAACAGGCAAAGGTTGGGGTCACACGGCCTTTAGCTCAGAGCGAGAAGGGTAGATCTCCCAAGGCACTGGGGCGCCAGAAGTAAAGACTTTGCTTGCATACTAGGTGCAGGGAACAGCTTGGGGAATGGCCAGGCCAGGGAGACAGCGCAGGGCCTTCAGCACCTAGTATGTGACTCGGGTAAGTGAAGTCAGGGAAGAGGAGGTGGAGGTGTGGGCAGGGCTTTGCCGGTGCTGGGAGGGGGTTGCTTTCAGGCGAATCGGGTAGCTTTCCAGCAGGGGGAGGGTTGAGAACGGATTTGTTAGGTGGTGGGAAGGCAGGAGGTCTGGGTGGGAGCGTAAGTGGGGATATAGAAGAGGTGGATTTTAAAAGACTTGAGAAGTCAGGCATCGTAGCACACACCTATGATCCCTGCGACTTGGGAGGAAGAGATTCTAAGATCTCAGGTTCAAAGCCAGCATGGGCAAAGCTATTGAGACCCTTCTCAGGAAAGTAATAAAGCTCGGTGTGATACGGCGCCTTACACCTGTAATCCCAACTATGGGAAGCAGAGGTAGGATTGACATACAAAGCAGCCGGGCAAAAGCATGAGAGCCTACCTAAAAAACGAATAACTAATGCTAAACTTGGGGTATGGCTCAAGTGATGGGTACAAACAGTAACTGTGGGTTAGCTTGGCTTTGTCCCTCCCCCAGCAGCTGGGGCTCCATAGCCTTGGGATTGAAGTCAGCGTGAGTGCTGGGATCTTTGTTAATAATTAACACCTCATCATTCATTAATGCTGCAGAAGACAGCCCCACATCTGATGTGCCTTCATCTTTGGGTGTTTTCTGCTCTTCCTATCTCAGTAATCCTCAGGACTCTTGAGAAAGGCAGGGGGAGAGGCAGCCTTGGGCCTCAGTTTACCCTCTAAAGCAGGAGGTGGACTTGTTGATCTCTTAAGGACATTTTTCTTTCCTTTGGAAATAAGGTCCCCATGTAGCTCAAGCTAGTCTGGAACTCCTATTTTTCTGCCTCGGCATACAGACTGCTGGATCACCTAGTTATAATTTTTTTGGGGGGTTGGTTGTGGGGCTTGAACACTGGGTCTGGGCGCTGCCTCTCAGCTCTTCAGCTCCAGGAAGCACTCTGCCACTTGAGCCACAGCGCCACTTCTGGCTTTTTCTGCTTCTGTGCTGCTGAGGAATCGAACCCAGGGCTTCATGCATGCAAGGCAAACACTCTACCACTGAGCCACCTTCCCAGCCCCAACCGGGTTATAATTTAAGGGCTCTTTGGGGGAGGGGGGGAATGAAGCCAGACACCAGTGACTCACACCTGTCATCCTAGCTACTCAGGAGGCTGGGATCTGAGGGTCGCAGTTCAAAGCCAGCCTGGGCAGGAAAGTCTGTGAGACTCTTATCTCCAATAAACCATTCTGAAAACCAGAAGTGGTGCTCAAGTGGTAGAGCACGAGCCTTGAGCTGAAGAACTGAGAGACAGCGCCCAGGCCCAGAGTTCAAGCACCACAACTGACCAAAAAAAAAAAAAAAGTCTTCATCAGGTCTCAGAGAGCAATCTTCCATTCACCCTGCCACCCATTTCCTATGTCCCTTTTAGGGCCCGCCTACTGCCCTTACTGAAGGAGGTCTTGGCCTCTTTGGCTGGTTGGAAGTTATTGACATGCTCAACAACCAATCACCACCTGAGTACTCCATGACTTCTGTTACCTATTATTCTCTCCTCTATTGGGCCACTGGTCCCCTTTGGGCTCTTTCCAAGGACCCAGCTTGCAAGCTCCGGGGTGGCTGGTGGGAGTGGCGGTATATACACAGGTCAGCAGCTGGAATGGGGAGAGAACTGGAAAGATGAGCTGGTGTGGACAGCATGCATGTCAGACCTGCGTGGACTTGCAGGATCTTAAAACGAAACAGTGCGTTCTAGGAGAGACTGGAGTCACGGCAGTTTCTGGAGCAGAGTACAGGAAGCTGGAACTCGTGATTGCTTAATCCTAGCACTAGGGAGGATGAGGCAGGAAGGTCATGAGCTTGAGGCCTGCCTGGTTCATTGTGCAGACCAGGCCCCTTTGGGGTGTCTCAGATTCCACATACAAATCTAATTTTTGGATCAAATCCTGTACCCTACTTTCAAGTCTTTATAGAAATGGGATAAGACATGATTAATGTATGCTCAGACGGGCAAATTACAGGTAGAGCACAGAGGCCATTTGCAGAACTCCTCCCCGCCCCAATAATGCAACGCCACTAAGGCCACCATCGCTTTTATTTCTGAGCTTCTGGTGGAGGGCGGGCCCTGGGAAACCCAAAGTAGGTTTTTGATTGGCCAGAACCTCAGCGGACGGAGCCCATAGGTTGGAACTCTGGGTGGACTAGAACTCTTGGTGCCCGGATGGTGGAGCTTGGGGGCGGGGCTCCGGGGGGCGGGGCGTTCCGGGGGCGGGGCCTCCGGGGGGCCGCATCCTCCCCGGAGTTGGAGCTAGGCGGGCGCCTACTTCTGGGCCGGGATCATGTCGTCGATGGCCTGGCCTTTCTCCAGCTTCTTCTCCATCTCCACCATGAGCTTCACACCATCCACCACCAGCTGCACCTGTTCCACCTCAGACGAGCCCAGCCGATCGGCGTTGGATATGTCGAATACCGCACCCACCGCGGCCGTGTCCACGCCACCTGTGTGGAGCAGCGGGGAAGGGCAGTGAGGAGGGAGAGGGGGGCCGGGGGCGACCCTGTGGCCGAGCCCCGATTCTGCTTCAGGAACGGTAGGTACCTTGTCCGGAAACCATCCAACACCACATTTCCAGAAAGGGAAACTGAGGCCCAGGGGCCTGCAGGCATGCGTGTCGTATAACTGTGATTATAGTAGCTCCTGAGCACACGTGTAGATGCCCACTTTACACAGGAGGAGCCCAAGGCCCACCCTTACCGGCTCGGGGACCCGCGGGGTGCCCCACGTCCCCCCCCCGCGGAGGGCGCCCAGGTGCGAGGGGGCGGGGCAGGGCGTGCAGGAGCGCACCTGTGCCCCGTTTCTGCAGGCGTAGACGGGTGAGGATCTCCTCGAACTTGGGGTGCTTGCTCAGGTGCGCCAGCTTCACGTGCACGCCCCCGCGCAGCCCTGTGCCCAGGTTGGAGGGGCAGGTGAGCACGTAGCCCAGGTGCTCGTTCCACATGAAGGGGTGGCCTGCTTTCTTAAAGATCTCCTCAATCTGAGGGGGAGGGGGAGAAAAGCAGAGGTCGGCACCTGCGGGCTCCCCCAAGTGCACCCCCAATCAAAGCCAACAGGCGAGGTGGGGCTGGGCGGGAGCGCAGGTTGGGAAACCCAGGAGGAGGCGTCTGGCCACGCCCCGAGTCTGGCCACGCCCCATGGACAGAGGCTGGCTCTAGGGGGCGGGGCTTTAGAACATGGGTGTGGCCAGGACTGAAGGGCTAGGCTTAAGCCGAGCGATGGGCGGGGCTTTGGGAGTGGGAGAGGCAATATCTTTGTGAATGGGCGTGGCCTCGGAAGTGGAAAGGGTGTATCTGCATGTGAGGGGCGTGGTCTGGAAGTGGGCGTGGTGTGAGAGAGAGACCTTGAAAGGGCTTTGGGTGCTTTGGGTGTCTTTGTGTATGAACAGGCAGCTTGGCCTTTTGGAATTTGAAGTCTGTCTTTCCATGTGAAAGGGTGTGGCGTAGGAACTGGGCGTGTCTTGTATTTGCATGTTGGGTGTGGCCTCTCGAGTGGGCGGGGCGTCGAGGGGCAGGTGGCGCCCACCTTCTGCAGCCCCACGCAGAAGCGGCGGAAAACTTCCTTCATGTTGCCGCCCTTCTCCATGGAGATGACACGGAGGTGGTCCTCCTCGTTCACCCACACCAGGAAGCTCTTGTTGTCATTGTGCCTAAGGTGAGATCAGAGGCCAAGAGTCAGATTTGGGGGCCCCGAAAAATGGGGGGTGTGCTCGCCTTCCCCCCCAAACCACAGGTGCTTGAGTCGGAGCATTCAGACGTCAGGGGATCTGCAGAACCTCACACCTGGGATCCCAGGGCTTCAGAAGGAATTAAACAGCCTTCTATTAAAGAGACTATAACTACTCAGGAGGCTGAGATCTGAGGATCAAAGTTTGAGGCCAGCCCACACAGGAAAATCCCTGAGACGTTTTACCCTCCCATTAGCCAGGGGGGGGAGGAAGTGGGGCTGTGGCTCTCCGTGGTGCAAAGGGCATGGACAGAGCAGTGGAGGGCCTCACCAGATGCCCCGGGCATCAGGCCAGTCTCGGGCCATGCCTGAGGCCAGCAGCAGGGGGGACACGGGCTTGTCGAACAGGAAGTGGTCATCGATGAGCTGCTGCTGCTCCTGCTCCGTCATGCTCTTCAGGGGGTAGTACTTGCCCTTGAACTCCCCAGTCAGGCTGTTGAGAGCTGGGGGGAGAGGGTTAAACAGGGCTGGCTCGCTTCAGCTGAGGTGTGGTATCCAGGGAACCCCATGCTTGCCCCCAGTGGTCTGAGCCATTAACAGAAGCTAAACACTATGCCACCTCCACTTGTGACCTGTCCCCAAGTCTCTCCAGGAGCAGACTCAGCACCAGCAAGGTGTGGTGGTGCACACATGTAATCCCGGCTACTCAGAAGGCAGAGATAGGAGGATCTGGAGTTCAAGGACACCCAAAGTTTGTCAGGCAGCCCCTGTTTGAGTTGAATTGAGCGACTTGCAAGGGCCAGGTCTGTGGGGGACTGGAGAAATGAGGTGTGTGGGGGGATGGGACTCACCTTCCACGGAGAGCTTCTCCACAGCCCGACGCTCACCCCGCGAGCAGTGTGGGGGCAGCGTGTAGCCCTTGATGCTGCGGCCAGTGCGCACCCGGCTGCTGAGCACATAGTTGGGGTCTAGGTCGTCTCCACCCTGGGGGGAGGGGCAGTGGGAGGGACGCTGGGATGACAGACCCTCAGGGGTGCACCATCCCACTGAGCCCAGGGCTCCCCAAAACCTTCCTTGAATCTCCCCCTGATTTCCTAGGGCTCTTCTAGATCCGTGGTTTACCACCCCACTCCTGGCCAGCCTCCCAGGGCTCCTCACATCTCCAGGGTCCTCAGTGCCTCCATGGCTTCCCCAGAACCCCACATCTACCCCAACTCCTGGATCTCCCCCTCTCCCCCCACCCTCTGGCTCCCTGTCTGTCTGTGTGTCTGTGTACTCTTCCCATCCCACCCCGGATCACTGACCTTGAGGTTCTCATGGTTGAGGTCCGTCTTGTGCTTGTCAGTGGGCTTGTAGCCGCCGTGCCGGTCCTGGATGATGGGGTCGAAGAGATCCTTGAACACCGTGTATGACTCCTCGTCCCCGGCCACACAGCCCACCGTCATGATGAAGGGGTGACCTGGGGGGGGGGCAGCCGGCTGAGGTCAGAGATGTGAGCCCATGTGTGTGTACCGGGGAGGTGGAGGCTGAGAGGGTTTGGACCCAACCCCCTCCCCAGTCCCCCTCAGCTCCCAGACCTGGATTGTCCACGCCTGTCTGGATGACGTCATCCAGGGTGAAGCCAGCCGGCGTCTCCTTGTCCCGCAGCTTCTTGTAAAGGTCAGGGGTCAGCACCTTGGCCATGTGGTTGTTGTGCTTGCTGAGGTCGGGGTACTCCTCCTCCGGCTTGTAGTTCAACTTGAACTTGTTGTGGGTGTTTCCGAACGGCATGGTGGCGGCGGTGGGGGGGTGGGGGTCTGTGGGGGGGGGGACAGGGAAGGACGGTGAGCCGAACCTAAGCAGGGTGTGAGACTCGGGGGTGAAGAAGCTTGAGGACCTGTTGCAACAAGAGAGCCCCCCTCCCGCCCCCCCCCAACCCCTGAACCCTGCCCAGGAGAAGCAGAGTCTCAGGTGAGCTCCCTGGCTGGGTCATAGTCTGGCTCCATCACCCAAGACTAGTTACATTCCCCCAGGCCAGAGAAGAAACAAGGGTAAGAGTATGGACTTGGGCTGGGAAGGTGGCTCAGTGGTAGAGTGCTTGCCTTGCATGCATGAGGCCCTGGGTTTGATTCCTCAGCACCACATATGCAGAAAAAGCCAGAGGTAGCGCTGTGGCTCAAGTGGTAGAGGAGCTAGCCTTGAGCATGGTGAAGTTTGGGGACAGTGTCCAGGCCCTGAGTTCAAGCCCCAGGACTGGGGCGGGGGAGTGGGGGGCGGAGAGCTAAGGGGAGAGTGTATGCTTTGGAATCAGACAGACTGGGTTCAAATCCTGGCTCCTACTCTTTCCTTGGGACAAGGTGGGTGGACTTGAGCAAGTTGTTAAACTTCTCTGTGCTTCTGTTTACTCAGTCATAAAAAGAGGCCCTATAAAAACACAAACCTCTTGGGAGGTTGTGAGGGAGAAAGGGGTTTAAAAGAGTTAATGCAGGAGAGGCACTTGTACCCATGTCTTGTTCACACCTTATATTCTTTTTTCTTTCTTTCTTTTTCTTTTTTTTTTGTTTTTGTTTTTTGTCAGTTGTGGGGCTTGAACTCTGGGCCTGGGCGCTGTCCCTCAGCTCTTCAGCTCAAGGCTAGCGCTCTAACGCTTGAGCCACAGCACCACTTCCTGTTTTCTGATAATTAATTGGAGATAAGAGTTTCACACCTTTCCTGCCCTGGGCTGGCTTTGAACTGCGATCCTCAGATCTCAGCCTCCTGAGTAGCTAGGATTATAGGCTTGAGCCACCAGCCCTCAGCTCTTATATTCTTTTTGTTGTTGTTCTTGTTGGTCATGGGTCTTGAACTCAGGGCCTGGGCACTGTCTCTGAGCTCTTTCACTCCAGGCTAGCACTCTACCGCTTTGAGACACAGCTCCACTTCTGGTTTACTGGAGATAAGAGTCTTACTCGGTTTCCTGCCTGGGCTGACCTTGAACTGTGATCCTCAGATCTCACTCTTCTGAGTAGCTGGGGGAGCCACTTGTACCCAGCTCCAGCAGTCTTTTATTTAGCTATTATTATATCTGTCCTGGTGGTGTTGGGTTTTCGGGAGCTGCAGAGAAGGAGCACTTGAACAGGAGTCTGCTCTCCGCGGGGCATCCTGCTCCAAGCTTGAGAGGCAGAGTTGGGGCAGGGGGCTGGGTGGGCACACCCCCCTCCACCATCTACATCTCTGTATCAGGTTAGTCTCTGGAGTCCACACAGCATGGGGTTCAAACCCCAGCTTGGCGTGTGGGTGCTGTGTGTTCCAGGCTCAGACCTCTCTGATCCTCAGAACTCAGCCGGGGCATTATTGTATCCATTAGACCCAATGGAGGACCCCCCAGCTCCAGCCGGGGGGGGGTGGGGGTGGTGCGATGGAACTGGAGAGGGGTTGGGGGAAGGCCCGTGGTTATTTTTAGGGCCTGGCATCTGCATCCCCCAGGCCAGCCCCGCCCTGGCTCGGTTTGTACCAAGTCAGCAGGGGGTGGGTGGCCAGGGCGGTGGGGAGGACACACAGCCAAGCCCCGGGGCTCAAGGACACCCCAGAAAGCCCAGACTCCCTCCCTCCAGAGGGTGCCTGCTGGGGACCTCAACCAGGGACACCCTGAAGGCATGGAGGCCAGGCAGGTGACCCTAAAGAGCTGGGCACGCACCCCTCCAGCTCCATCAAGTGAGTCCCAAGGGGATGCCTGTAATCCCGGAGCCGGGAACAGTCAGACACAAGGTCACAGCCACCCTGACCGGTGACAGGCACCCCCCGCTGCCCGTGGCGCCCAGCTGGGGTGACCCTTTTTGGGGCTCTGGGGACCCCCTCATCACACACACACAGGGGCTCAGGACTTAGGGTAAAAGCCACATTGGGGCCACAGATTGGGGGGCCCTCTGGTCCCACAGGGCCACCTGCTGGAAGTGACAGAGGGGCCAGACGTAGGTCATCCCCTCCAGCCTAGGCACGGAGCCCCCCCATGTCCCCCTCCCCAGTACCTGGCCGAGAGAACTGTCTGTGTCCTGCAGGCAACACCAACCCGGAGGCAGGGCCCGGGGTTCCCGCTTTATATCGGGGGGCTGGGGCTATGCGATTGGCTGGGTGGGGCTGTCCCCAGGGAGGGGGCCGAGCTGCCCGGGCACAGCGCCCACCCCACAGCCAGGCCTGCCCAGTGCCCAGCCCCATGGTGGCCTTGTATGGGCCGCCCCAGCGCCCCCCAAAACCACGCCCGCCCAGCCCACGAGCCAGTGCTGAGTCGGGCTGGCGGGGAGCAGCTGGCTGGCTGCCGGGGACACGCCGCGGCCTGCGCATGTGCTGGCCACGGCCCCCCTGGACCCTCACCACACACACTACACACACCTCCCCCCGGCTGGCTGAGCCCCAGCATCTTAGGAGATTCAGAACCAGGAGCCCACCGAGGACACAGCCACCCCTGTGTGACCCAGGGAGCCACTGAGCAGGAGGGAAACTGAGGCTGGGCCCCGTTGGGGAGATGTGAACTCTGGGATGGGGGGTCACGCTCCTCCCGCCCCTCCCTCTCGTGCCCAGGGCCATGTGTGCCCCCGAGTTATTTTTACGGTGCCCTGTGGCCTCCACGGCACAACCGGAGCGGCAGCTGGTGTTGGGGGGGCGGCCACGTGTCCGGGTTAATTATAACTGGGTGTCCGGCGTCCCCAGCCTCCCCTCCTTACAAGGGCAGCTCAGGAGGCCCCCCGTGGCCCCACCCAGCCCCAAGGGGAAGGGAAGGTGGGGGGGAGGAGTCCTGTCACTCTGCACGCGGGACTGGAACAACGCACTGTGACACACTCAGCACCCCAGCTGTCATCGGGGACCTCAGTTCCCAGGAGGGGAGTCCATGCCAGCAGGGCCGGTATTTGAGGGTGCAGCCTGGAAGGTTCCGGGCCTCTGTCATCTCTTTACCTATCTTCCTACCTACCGACCTATTGCTGGGTCTGAATTCAGTTCCTTCCACTTCTCTTGCTCAGCTGGTGCTCTACCACTTGAGTCATGCCTCTAGCCCCACTTTTTGCTTTTTACTTTGGAGCTTGATTCTCATAGATTTCTCTGCTTGGGCGCTGTCTCTCAGCTCTTCAGCTCAAGGCGAGCGCTCTACCACTTGAGCCACAGCGCCACTTCCAGTTTTCTGGTGGTTCATTGGAGATAAGAGTCTCACGGAAGCTGGGCGCTGGTGGCTCACGCCTGTAATCCTAGCTACTCAGGAGGCTGAGATCTGAGGATCGAGGTTCAAAGCCAGCCTGGGCAGGAAAGACAATGA